GGCGCTTTTCTTTCGTTGGTGAGTTGGTTTTTCTTCTATTTTTAAGTTACTAAGGTGAATGGTGAGGAAACTTAGTCCTAACAAAACATAAGCCCCAAACAAAAATAGAATAATAAGCAAAATAAAAGTAAATAAAAATAACGTTCGGACTTGGTTCCTTACAATGCTTCCATTATAGGTCTACAGTTTTTTTATTGTAAGTTGGCACCTACTGTAAACAAATTAACATACAACCCTTTGTTTATTGGTTTAATTCTATGTCCATCAATTAAAAACTGTGTTGCATCTCATTTATTTGCAGAAAATAGTTCATCTATATATATATATAAAAATGAATGTATGTTTGTGTGTCTGTCGTGTCCTTCATGCATTACCACACCATTTATCCGATTACCATGAATCTTTGGGAAGTTGTTTAATATACTCCTGCGAAGGTTTCTGGCATAGTACGATTGCCATGAAGCTTTGGGAGGTTTTTTAATACATTCCCGTGGAGGTTTCTGGCATAGTACATTTATCCTACGATAGATGGCGCGAGTGTACATTCCCGTGGAGGTTTCTGGCATAGTACATTTATCCTACGATAGATGGCGCGAGTGTGTACGAGCATTTCACTGTGTGTTCGATCGATTTCAAGTTGTAAAGACCATTTCCCCCCCTTCAAAAAATATCTCTACATATGCATTTGTGAACTGTTATTTATGATATTTGTAATAATTTTTGTTTAATCACTTTATTTCTACTTTTTTTTCTTAATTATGTATTCACTCGAACTTTGTTAAAGCCTTAACTGTATTCCAAACAACAGCTGAAGCTGTAGGAGGAAATTCGCCTATTTTATCGATCTAGGGATCCCCCTTTTTCAAATTTTAATATCGACTCAAAATAATTTAAAAAGACAAATTACAATAAAACAGTTTATTATCCAACTATCAGAAATTTCACAACATGCCAAGGAAGAGAGGAAGGAGCAATTAAATAATTAAAATTATAAAAAATGGGGAATATCGCACTTCTGACAATCGCTGTAAGTGTGTGGGCTAAATTTGGAGAATGTGCGCTTTTTGCATGGACAACTGTATATGGCTGGATCACGCTTTGGAAAACCTTCCGATTTATTTGTGTGTACGCACCAGACGGAAAAACAAAAATTATCGTGTATCCACGAGCACTCCAATAAATAAATAGAATTGAAACGACACTTTGAAATGTTTTACTGATGAAAATTAATAATAATAATAAGTCAATAAAAATGATAAAATGTAAATTGAATTTTATCGTAACGAGTTTGCTTGAATTTCATTTCTTCTGAGATCGCAGCAATGCGCGATGGGTAAGCTAGTTACTTATAAAATCATTAATGAAATACAGGTCACTTAGCAATGATTACAAATATAGTTATTTCATATTAGTTAAATTGTTATTTTTAATGAATATTAGCACATTATGAATCATTAAAAATAAACTTCTTCCAGTCATGTACATTATAATGTTTTGGTTTTTTTTTATTTGTCGCATATTAAGGCAAACATGGGTTGTTTACCTTAATACATGCATTTGATAATACTTTATTTGTGATTAAACAAAATAAAATTCTAATTTTGTTAATATATCTAATTATCTTTATTTTAATATTTAAAGAGACACCTTGTCCTATATGCGAGATCATCTTAAACGCAAGTAAATACAGTATTTTGAAAATTTGTATTAGGACATAAAAGAAATGACCACAATTCATTCCAGCATTATCAACAAAACACAATATATTGTTGTTTTGAATACATGACTATAATATAGAGTTTAGGATACATGGCTAATATGAGGTGCATTTAAGTTGTAAGGTGTCCTATTTTTTCTAGGGGAAGGAAGCAGGTAGCAACATGCAGTTTTTTTAAAAAGAAGTGAACACTATTTGTGGTTGCATAACAGAGAGGGCAGCACTGCACAGCACATGGAACTCTAGTTGCAGCAGTTCAAGTGAGATGTGTTTTTGATACTTAAAATGGCTATGTTTTCGTTACAAGAATGTGTAATCATTCGTTTTCTGTACTTGCATGGAGTGACACCCATTGAAATTCATCACTAGTTGGGTGACACATGCGGTGATGGTGTCATGGATATGAAAAATGTGCATTTGTGGATGCGATGGTTCAAAGAAGGGTGAACGTCGTATGACAAACTGAAACATTTACGCTCACACACCATATGGTCTGACAATATGGTTGTGCACAAGGAGCAAGTTGTTTTGGAGGATCAATGATTAAGTGTGGAAGATGTCGCCTTTAACGTTGGCATTTCTGTGGGATCTGTGTACACAATCTTGCATGAAGAACTGAAAATGAGGAAAGTGTCATCCAAGCGGGTGCTGCGAATGCTGATGGATTACCATGAGGCTGCACGCATTGCAACTTGTCAGGTAATGTTGACATGTGATGATTGCATGAATGGAGCGTTCTTTTCATCAGTTATCACAATGGACAAGACATGGATGCTGTTTTTCAATCCAGAAACAAAATGGGAGTTGGTGCAATGGAAACACACTGCCTCACCACCACTGAAGAAATTTCAGGTTACCACTAGTGCTTAGAAAATGATGGTGCAGTGGCATAATCCTCACTCACTGCATTTTAAAGAGCACAGCAGTGGCATAATCCTCACTCACTGCATTTTAAAGAGCACTATGGTAACAGCTGCATCCTATGAAGATGTTTTGAGGAGGAAATTGCTTACAGCAATGCAAGAAAAATTGCTTTTTCCGGCAGTTTTTCTTGCAGTGCTGGAATATCCTGCACAGAAAAGACTGCATGTGTGCTCTTCCATCAAAACAATGGTCCAGCTCATCAGGTGATGTTAAAACAACTTTGAAGTGGTTTCTTGTGCTTCCTATTCATCTTCCAATGCTCCTAGCAATTTTTGGCTTTTTCCAACAATAAAGCACACTCTCTGTGGTTGCACATTCTACAGTCATGCCACTCTAGCATCAATGATTTTCCAGTGGTCAAAACAGACCCCTAAAGAAACGTTTGCAGCGGCCATGATGTCATGGCGTCGACATTGTGAAAAATTGTATGTCTGCAGGGAGATTGCAGAGAAGTGACAGAAGTTTCAATTTGTTTGTGTAAATATTTTGTCAAAAAACAAATGGGAGACTGTAGAACTTGAATGCACCTTGCATAGGTAATGTGTGTATAGTACAGGAATACCTCGATTATCCAGTTGTTATTGTCACAAAAAATACTGCAGTAATCAGGATAAATAAATCATGTAAAATGGGTGATAATTACCAAGGATTTTTAAAATCTATTAATTAAATTTTATGTATAGGATAAAAAAGAAATGTGTTAAGTAAAAAAATTAAGGTTTATTTTGGAAAACAAGATGAATTTTTAATTTTTATTTGTATATAAGGAATACAGTTGATTCATTTAGACCAGTGGTGGTGAACCTATGGCACGTGTGCCCAAAGTGGCACGTAAGGAGAAATCATCTGGCACGTAACATATTGTACGATTTTGATTTATCGTTTGTCTTTTCCAATCATTGTTTCATTTATTTTAATTAAAGCATTTTTGTTTAATTTATTTAAATATCGTTATTTGAAGTTTAAAACTTTGGCACGCATAAACGTCTTTAAAGCTAAGTATACTTACAGTATGGTACGCGGGCTCAAAAAGGTTTGCCACCCCTGATTTAGACCATACTCTCTTGCAATTTTGGCTTTGGTTATGTCTGCTTCATACCTATTTATTATATGCAACTTATCTTTACTCTATTTATTCTTGATAGCTGTAGACTTGATATCATCCTTGTTTCTTTAGCATTTATTATATGGGTAAATAAGAAGAGAAATAAATATTCACATGTACTTCAGGCAAAGGTGGACAGTTACCAATGAGTAGTGAGCAGGCACCGTTGGATAAAAATGAAGTGCTACAAGAGTGCTACCTGGAGATTGGTGACTTGAACTAAATGTAATTCTGGTTGCATATGTAGTGGGCTATGTCTCGCAGCCACGATAATTCAAATTTAGAGTGCAGTAATTGGAATTTTGGTATCAAATTACAAATTGTGATAATTGAGGTGTTACTGTAAGTAAGAACATTGGCACACTGTTATATTTTTAGGAATTGTTATAACTTTTAAAATTATGGTTTTCAGATGCCATTTACACTTTTTATTGATACAGTACCTCTTACAGTTGAAGCTTGCAAAGACCTCCTTACTTTCAGATATTATATTAGAGGGTGAGCAAAGAGGTTGACCTCAAATACAATGTGATAGATAGTGAAATCAAGGGCACATCATGTTTGTCAATGAAGTTGTTATCAGTAGTTGTAAACTCATTGTAATGTTTATAGCTTGTTTAAGGTTCTATGCTTGCTAGAAGCTTTTTGAATGTTCTATTATAGAATTTGTATTTTTAAACCTGATGCAGGCCTCAGGAAAATGTCAAAAATGTTTATATTTTGTTGAAATATTATGTTACTGGAAGTAAGTTTTTGTATTCAGTTTAGTACAATATTTTAAAATATGTACTTTGTAGTAAGAAATTATTGTTATATAAAGTGAGATTTACTTAACTCTGACAATTTATGTATAATTGTAGTTTTATAAATTAAAATCAGTTTTGAAATTGAAAATCACTACACAATGTGATAGGTTCTGATCTTTGTAAAATTATTCTGTTATGATTAGGATAAACCTCGTTTAAATTATGGAAATAAAGAGCACTTGTGTCAGAATTGGAGCCAGTTGGTCATCTCCTTTCTTCACTAATTTACAGAATAAATTTTAACTGTTTAAAATTGGCTGGTTGACTTATTCAGCAGTTTATTCTAAGATTTGTACTTGTGCACTGCATTGAGAGTAATTCTACAGATTAAAAGTGCATTAACCTTATGATTAAAACTCGTCGTCTTTCTAACATATGCGAGAGAATAAAATCAATTAATTTTTATTACAAGTTTCATGAAAAGTAATCATATTTTTAAATCTTTCAGAAATTTGTGCAGTTTCAAAGGTATCCAAGAAAGAAATTGGCCGCTGCTTTAAATTAATTTTGAAAGCTTTAGAAACCAGTGTTGATTTAATCACCACTGGTGATTTCATGGTAAGTGAAGTCCATTTGAAATTCTAATTGATATTTTCAAGGCAAATGTTGTATATCTTTGTAAATGTACATATAGATATGTACATTTGTCTTGTACAGTACTGAAATATCCTGTTAAATAACACAAAATATTATCATATAAGGTAACTATTTCTTTTCATTGCTGCATGGTCAATTTGATTGACTTGCATAAATCTGTTTCTTGGTTAAAGTGAATTATTTTAATTAAAAAAGATGCTCTGATTGGTTTTCCTTTGGTGAAGGAAGTGGTGGGAACAAGTTCTGAGCAGAATGATATGAAATTAGGATAATTTTGTTATGTTAGACATTCTTGTAATTGAATTGAATGATGACAAAATATTTATGCCAAATTCTGATCATTGATTGTTGATTTGTTATTGAAAGGGCAAAATATAGTTTTATAGAAGTGGAATATATTTTTTGGACAACATTTTCCCAGAACACAATTTTACGTACAGAATTTTCCTGAAAGTTGTTACTCACTGGCTTACAAAATAAAGACATTTTGTGATCAAATTAATAACTACTACTACATAGTTTGAAATATTTTAATTAAATCTTACAAATGATTAAATAGGCTTACACTATGAAAAACTCCACAGAAACTGGCTGTATTTGACGTAAAATTAATATCAAAACCTTAAATCTGGTAAAAAAAAAAGTAAAATGTTTGTTATGAGAACTAAAACTTTCGACCACGCACAATGTCCATTTTCAGGTTCTAAAGTGGAATTAATGAATAGAACAGGAAGTACATTTAAAATTAAAAACATTCAAAAATTACAAACTTATGTAACGAGTCACATGCACAAGAGCATAAAATATATTAAGTAAAACATAGAAAATTGGAATAAATAATTAATACAAAAAATATTAAATATGAAATAATATAATAAATAAATATAGAAAGATTATAGGTAAAGAAATAAAATAAATTTAGTAAAATTGAAGTTGGGCTGGTAAGAAATGACTGCAATTAACATTAAAGATCCTGTAGTTGTGTTACATGCTTGGAGCACATTATTTGAAGTTATATAGTAAAATGGTAATAGACAAAACTATATATTTTTTCACCTACAAGATTTATATATATTTCTGTATTTATTTATTATTTTATTTGGTAAAAATTTTTTGTGTTAATTATTTAATCCTATTTTCTATACTTTATTTAATATATATTATGCTTTTGCACTTTGTGACTTGTTATCTAAATATATAATTTTTGAATGTTTTTAATGTCAAATATAATTTCTCTTTTATTCATTAATTCCATTTGATAATTTGAAGATGGCCATTGTACATGGTCAAAAACGTACATTTCGATAACAAACATTCTATTCTTACTGGATTTAAGGTATTAAATATAAAAGGCTTACAGTATTATTTACTGCACAACACTAAAGTGATAATTTAAAAGCCTTCAAAATAAAAAAAGGAAACATATAATTGTTAATGTTCTCTTATAATAATAATAATGTTATCTTATAATAATGTTTCTATGAGTACTTCCCCAAAGTTATTTTGTATTATTGTTGGGGTAATTTACTCTGTAAAATGCATCTAAAATGCTTCTAGAATTTTAGAACAAAATATGGATGATCATTGTTTCTATTGAGTTGTTCGGAAAATAATTTCATTTTTTATGTGGAAAAAAAAGAATATTTTTATAATAAAAAAATATTTTATTGAATTATATATTGACCATTTTGGTCAAATACCTGTTATCGTCATTCCTGGTAGTAGCATGATTTCACATTCATAAAAGTTTTGATCGTTGCTTACAAAAAACTGATCCAAGTGATTTTTGACATATTCATTTCAAGTAAATGTCTCATAGTTAAAAAAAAGTAGACCAGAACAAGTAATAATTCGAGCGTGTTCGATCTGGCAAATACGGATGGAGCGATAGCACGTCCCATCTAAGTTATAACAGTTTCTGATGAGTTACCAAACTTGTGCGAAATTTGACATTATCGTGGTAAAACACTACACCTGTTTTGTCGATCAATTCTGGTTGTCTTTTCTGTTGGATGATATTAATTGATTTGTTTACTCGATGACAGTACACTTTCGAATCAATTCTTAAATTGTCTGGTTAAAGCTCCAAAAATAAATTTACTTAAAATCCCACCAAAGAGAGCATATCTCTTTAAGAACGTGTGAAACCCATATATCGAGCTTTGAAACAAAACCAATTTGTTTCAAGTAATCACAAACAGTTCAATTTGACAAATTTAATCTCTTAGTGATTTCACGTGTTGTTATTCAGCAGTTTGCTTCAATCGGTACCTTTATTTTGTTTTCGTTGGCTTCAACTGGCCTACAGAACGTGGTGGGTGCGTCTTCAATATTGAAATTGCCAGAATGAAATTTTTTAAACCAGTTTTGGCACTGTCGTTCTGTTAATACATTTTCTCTGTACACGTCACACAATTTTTATCTCGCTTGAACAGCATTCTTACCTTTTCAGTAATAAAAGAGAAAAATATGCCAAAAATGCTGCTTTCGATCTTCCGTATTTGATGGGACACAAAAAATAAACAATTGCACAAAATCACACAAAATTTTTTACAAATAAGCCTTAAAATGCTCGCTGTCAAAATATATAATGATAATACAGTTTAGAATGAAAANTATCTGAATTGTCTTGTGTGTCTAGATCATAAAAAGTTGGTTTTCTGGTTTAAAAGCTTTTATAACAATTTAGTTGTATCTTCTGTGGATAACATGTTCTTGTCTGATACTAATAGAAGAAAGTAATCGTGGATTGAAAGCATCAGCTATTTTTTTGCATGTTAAATCTCTCTAACATAGCATGGAATATTATTAAGAGTAAAGAAAAGATTTTGTCCTTAGTTCCAATATTTATAATACTTTTTTAAATTTTTTTAGATCATTGAATAAAGATCCAAAATTAGCATTGTATTTCATTAGAACTTTGATAATATTTTAAATATTTAGCATTTGCAATTTGATTTTATTGTGAATTGAAATTTCCTGTTTCTATGAGTACTTCCCCAAAGTTATTTTGTATTATTGTTGGGGTAATTTACTCTGTAAAATGCATCTAAAATGCTTCTAGAATTTTAGAACAAAATATGGATGATCATTGTTTCTATTGAGTTGTTCGGAAAATAATTTCATTTTTTATGTGGAAAAAAAAGAATATTTTTATAATAAAAAAATATTTTATTGAATTATATATTGACCATTTTGGTCAAATACCTGTTATCGTCATTCCTGGTAGTAGCATGATTTCACATTCATAAAAGTTTTGATCGTTGCTTACAAAAAACTGATCCAAGTGATTTTTGACATATTCATTTCAAGTAAATGTCTCATAGTTAAAAAAAAGTAGACCAGAACAAGTAATAATTCGAGCGTGTTCGATCTGGCAAATACGGGTGGAGCGATAGCACGTCCCATCTAAGTTATAACAGTTTCTGATGAGTTACCAAACTTGTGCGAAATTTGACATTATCGTGGTAAAACACTACACCTGTTTTGTCGATCAATTCTGGTTGTCTTTTCTGTTGGATGATATTAATTGATTTGTTTACTCGATGACAGTACACTTTCGAATCAATTCTTAAATTGTCTGGTTAAAGCTCCAAAAATAAATTTACTTAAAATCCCACCAAAGAGAGCATATCTCTTTAAGAACGTGTGAAACCCATATATCGAGCTTTGAAACAAAACCAATTTGTTTCAAGTAATCACAAACAGTTCAATTTGACAAATTTAATCTCTTAGTGATTTCACGTGTTGTTATTCAGCAGTTTGCTTCAATCGGTACCTTTATTTTGTTTTCGTTGGCTTCAACTGGCCTACAGAACGTGGTGGGTGCATCTTCAATATTGAAATTGCCAGAATGAAATTTTTTAAACCAGTTTTGGCACTGTCGTTCTGTTAATACATTTTCTCTGTACACGTCACACAATTTTTATCTCGCTTGAACAGCATTCTTACCTTTTCAGTAATAAAAGAGAAAAATATGCCAAAAATGCTGCTTTCGATCTTCCGTATTTGATGGGACACAAAAAATAAACAATTGCACAAAATCACACAAAATTTTTTACAAATAAGCCTTAAAATGCTCGCTGTCAAAATATATAATGATAATACAGTTTAGAATGAAAATGGCGGGAAAAATACGACTAATCTGTCTAGTGTTAAAAAAAAACGAAATTACTTTTCAAACAACCCAATAAATTGAGAATGGGTTTTTTCTTGTAAGTTAAACATTTAAAAAGGTTTGTAAAATGAAAAATATGATATTTCACTTATCACGGGAAATACCTCAATACTGTGCTTATCAGTTATCAGAATTGGTGGAAAGCCCTTAGAAATAGCAAAGAAAAATTTATAAATTATATTGGTGTTTACAAAATTTTTTAATAAGTTCTTTATGTGCAAACAGTAACTACTTATAATACGTTAACTTAGCATAATAATATATTTTTATTTGGTATTGAAAATCTGATGATATTGCATTTACAGAGCCACCCAGGCTTGGTTTTGCAGCAATGTTTAAATAAGCCATCAGCTTTCTTTAAATGAGTATCTACATTTTATTTAACTTTACTACATAATTTCCTATCATTAGTACTTTTAATAATATAAATTATTTTTACGATAAAAATAAAATTTGTTAGTAGGAAAGTGAATTTCTTTTGAATGAAAGTTTAGAAATCAAATGATCCAACATATTCCTTTTTTCTTAATAGGAGCCATGGATGGCAAAATGACCATGAGCCATAACCTTGCATTTAAATTATTTTTTACTGTTCAGTAGCAAAATTTGTTGTTTGGAAAATAACTGATTTGTTTTAATTTTTAACATTGATGAGTTTTTGATATTTAAATAACAGATTCTTATATTTCAGTCACGTTTCTGCTCCAATCTGGGACTTCCGGCTTCTGTACAGAAGGCAGCCACTCACATTGCCAGAAAAGCAGTTGAAGCAGACATTGTTCCTGGGTAAGTTATGTGTTTATGTTTGGTCTCATTCTTCCTTTTTAATTAACTTTATTAGCTATTGCTTTTGTCTGCCGTTCCATATCCATCTGTAATATTGCCCGTCGACATTTCTTACAGAACTTATGACCAATTGGGAACTTTTCTTATTTGCATTGCAAAAGTATCGTGGATATAGAACCATATGCAACTAACCCTAAATTTGGCGGTTTTTCAATAAAATACACATACTATATTGAACAAGTTCGCTTGGGACCATAAGCAGATACATAAAATTTCAAATGGATAAAAGTGCAAATTAGTAGTGTGCAATAGAGCAATTAGTAGTGTGGATAAAAGAGCAAATTAGTAGTGTGGATAAAAGAGCAAATTAGTAGTGTGCAATAGTCCACTAAAAATTTGCTGTTTGGTTGGTCCAGTTTTTCAAATCCCTATTTCCTGAATGTTAGTTTTAGGCTGTGTACACACTAGGCGTTTTGGAAATGCATGTTAGCTTGGCGTTTGACGAGCGTTTAGTGGAGCATACGCACTGGCTCAGTTTGGAAATGGATGTGAAAGTAATTGCTTGTGTGCCCCTCTTCCATTGTCGCTATAAAAGACGATGGCAGAGGCAAAGAGAATTTTGGGTGCACCCAATATTACGAGATAGACTGACACATGGAATGTTTGCAATGTTGTATCCAAAACTAAGACAAAATAAACCCAAGTTTTTTAATTCTTTTAAAATATCTATAAAATCATTTGACAATGGTTGGTCTCTTTTAGATTTCATCAATAAATAGATCAGTATCGAAACGATCGTTCTTCATTTTGGCCAACATACGTCCACTCTACCCAAAAACGCGCGATTGAATGTATAGTAACATGGCAGCACATATATCTCAAAGCGCTCGGCTGACGCCCGCAAAACGCGCGATCGAATGTACGGTAACATGGCAGCACATATATCTCAAAGCGCTCGGCTGATGCTTGCAAAATGCGCGTTTTAAGAAAAATCTATAAATGCGCGTTTAACATGCACTTTTGGCCAAGCGCGCGTTTGAGTGTGTACGCCTGATCAGAACTCTTGGTTCTTTAAAACGCGTGTCAAACATGTGTTTAAAAACGCACGTTTGATGCACGTTTAAAAATGCCTAGTGTGTACACAGCCTTACAGCTAGTCACTTATAGTTTATGCTAGTGTTTCTCAAAGTTTTCGTTCTGCAACCCTCTTTTGCACTTAAAAATTTCAAAGGACACCTGAAGAATGGGTATGTGTAAAAAAAATCCCGAAGGAGAGGATTAATTTAAATTCAGAAGGAGTTAATTTCTTTTGTTTAATTGCATTGAAACACTCATAATTTTAATAACAGATTTATTTGTAGTATCATTAAAAATTAATGTCTTATCTTTGGTACATCTTTGAACAAAATATTCTATGTATGTTTCGACATTAGTAAACTCAAGTAGTTAAATTAAACATATTTTAAATTAAATTTAATGCAATGGTCGAGCCTGCTTATTTTGGCACAATAAATTAAACCTGGGTTTAATATCAGTCAGTACAGGTCTCATAGCAATTTCTAAGTTGCAAAGACAAGAGTGCTGCTTTGTTTTGATGTTGGTCATTACTGAAAATGCCATTTTTCATAAATAAGTGGTTGCAAATGGTAAGAGAACTGCCATTGCTAATTCATAATTCAGAGATAGTGGATATTCTGCTTTCACACTAAACCAAAAAAATTTTACTACAGTGGAGCGTCGTTTATCGAAAGTCGGTTATTTGAAAGCATTCCAGTCGGCAAATTTAAATTTTCGCTAGTGCTGTGGCACTGCAATCTTTGGCTATATCTTGGTCTACTCGAATATTTTTTTGTTGGTGTGTGTGTTTTAGCTGGCAGCACTGGCATTTTTGTTTGGTGTTTTTCTGAGGAATGTGTGTCATGCCAAATTGAACGTTTTTGATACTAGATCAACTTCTAAAGTATATTTTTTTTGGTTTTTATATTTTTCAATAAATTTATTTTGTTTGTACAAAATAAAAAAATAATTCATAGCGATACAATAGCCATGATTACTATTTTAAGAAGTTTACGTTAGGCTTAACATCGATGAAAATTCAACGCAAAGCGACACTCAACGGAGAAAAATTTCAATGTGGGATAGGTTAATATATTTTTCATATATAATCAGTTATCCGAGCAACCCCAGTCCCCAATTAATTTGGATAAACGACGCTCTACTGTATTTCTAAACATGAATCCGTAGTAAATTTATAAAATATTGAAAAAATTGATCTATCATCAATTTTTCTGCTACCCTCCAAATATTTTTCACAACCTCCACTCTGAGAATCACTGGTTTATGCCATGCCATGGTATTATCAGTTTGCTTATCCCTGGCTTTTGATCTGATTACTTTTAGCAGATATTTTCATTTATTTCAGTTTAGTTTATTAATTCAAATGTAGTCCTTGTTCTACACAGCACTAAAGTAAAAAGAAAGTAAAAAATGCAGTGTTACTCATTGTTATTTAATACATTACATGAAAGTAAATTTTTATGGGCTATTTGATTACAGAAACAATTGGTGTAATTTTTACTTAAGAACTAAGATACATTAAACTGGACAATTTTAAGTAAATAAATGCAAATTGAAGAAAAAAATATACAGGGTGAGAAAGATCTTTGTTATTATAAAATATATAAGAGGTGCCCGAACAAAAATGAGAATTTTGATTTTTTTTAATAGTTAATTGATTGGAATCTGTAAACATACAGGAAGCAGTAATAATACATGGGCTACATATTGCTACACATAGTCACCTTGTTGGTTCAAGCAAGCATTCCAGTACATCACTAAGTTTTTGATACTTTAAGTGAAGAATAGCCATGATTGGCTGCTGTTCTGGTCTTAACCTGTGTATGATCATTTTATTATATATCATCAGTTGAGCATCTTGGAAAGTAGTCATGTGACGATATATCATCACCTCAAAAAATGTTTAATTTTAATTAAAAAATTTTCTTTAAGATAGCAGTACTCTATTCAGGGTTCAAACACACCTGGAAAGTCAGGGAATTTGTCGTCTTAGCTGCCTTGTTGATTTTGTTTGCTGAATATGGCTGACCAAGTGTAGCCATCTGCAGGCAGCAAGAAGTAGTGTTGCAATCTTTAATAAGAAAATATACCAGAATTCATTTTGAAATGGCTTATTTCATTGTTCTGAAGCCATATAATTTCACAGTTGTGGATTAATAACAGGATAAACTACTTTTATGTAATGGTGTTTCATTTTAATTACAGTAGAGCGTCGATTTTCCGAAAGTCAATCATCCGAAATGTCAATCATTTGAAAGAATTCCAGTCTGCAAATTTAAATTTTCGCCAGTGCTGTGTCACTTCAATCTTTGGCTATGTCTTGGGCTACTCAAATATTTTATGTTTTTGATACTAAATTAACTTCTGAAGTATAATTTTTTATTGTTTTTATATTTTTCAATATAATTATTTTGTTTGTACAAAATAAAAAAATAATTTTTAACGATACAATAGTCTTTGTTAGGCTTAACATCGACGAAAATTCAACGTGAAGCGACACGCAACGGAGAAAAATTTGAACATCGGATACGTTAAACTATTTTTACGTACATAAATCGGTTATCCGAAATATCAGTTATACGAACAACCTCAGTCCCCAATTGATTCGGAAAATCGACGCTCTACTGTATAATAATTCAGCAATTATAAAAAGATGAAATTGTTAATTAGAATAAAAAATAACTAATTAAAAATTTGTTTGCAAACTTTTAAAAGTTGAAATCGTAATTTATTAGAATGTTCACTTCAAATAGTTAAATAGATCAGTAAATATCTGTAATTTAATCGTTTTTCATGTTTAAAACATTACTAAAGAACATAAAAAAGTATAAATAGTTACCCGACATATACAGTAAAATTCAGGCACCGACTTGTGGTTGGCATGAGATTTTCACATAATTATTACAATTTTCCTTGAAAGTACTGTACTGCAAGCATATTTCCTTCTCTCTCTCTCTTCCATTAATTTCTGCAACTTTGATACATCATCCATCTACTTATATTGTAGACCAAGACATGGAGACATGTCTATGTTGAATTAGCATATTCCTTATTTTGGGGGTTACCAATATTAAATATAAAAGAAAATTGAAGACATATTGTAACATGTCTTCAATTTTCTTTTAATTTGCCTTGGTTGAGTATTGTGCTTATTTTACAGGATGATATCACTTCTTTGGGCCTTGTGCTCCCCAAATCTTATTTTGTTTTGCCATAACTTTTATTATTTCTTCTTTTGCAATATATTTTGGGACGTTGAGGAGAATGACCCTGGGTCTTCTCCCCTCAGATATTTTGCAGGTGATCGTTTTTTGAAGATCTGGAATGGCATCTATCGCCTCCTTTAGTATTCTACCATCCTGTTCACTTCCGACACGAACACACACTCCATCTGCTTTGACCTTACGTATAGCTTTGACTGTGATGTGCAATTTTTTGGGTTTAACTTCCTCGATGATTTTAGTCGTGACTTCATCCATGTTTGGTTTTTCTTCTTCATCCGTGACCTTGGGGTACAAGAGGACAACATATTTGCCCCAATCCCTTCAATTTGCACCTTAGTTTGTAGTTTAATAATTAGTTTAACAGAAATAACATTGGGTAACAGATATTGCTGATTCTGTCAAATTTCGGGTTTAAAAATTGGCAACATTGATAATACAGTAGAACCTCGAAAACTCGACTCTCGATAACCCGGCACTCCGGATAACTCGGCCACACCCTGGCAGGGCAAAAAAATCCTTAGTTAATTAATTTTCATTATAGACAGCTTTATAAAAGTATAAAAGCTCTCATAAAGTATTTTTCTGAGGTCTGTCTTATCAGGTAAATTACTGTACACAGTGTATTCATTAATTTTCATTTTCATGTAGTAAAGGCTCTNGTGTTTTTCTACATTCTTAAATTATAATGGCACGGAAACA